CTGATTAACGACAAAAGTTCTGAAAATTGATGATACAGGTAATGTGAAGCTCGTAGTGGGAGCTGATTCCAATCTTAAGTAGTTTTAGAGAGAAAATTAGAAATATTTTCCTGCGATGAGGCTCAAAAGCTCTTTGCACATTCTCTTATTTGTAAATAACACTTTTGAAAAAGAGAGCTTACGGCGGACTAATAAGGATACACAGCTTGTCCATGGCGCTCTTCGTGCATCGTGAAATTGTGGCAATCGGCTGAGGCATTCATCATTGTTTCATGTCGTTATCCAAGAAAAGTAAATGAACAATCCTCGTATCATTACATGAAAAGGTCTTTCCATCTTGCGTACTAACATATCGCGCATGAACTTCTAATTATTTCATCGGATAAAACTATCAAATATATATAAAACGTACTCGTCGTGAGTGGAACCGTCGCGGAGATCACGCTTGGTCCTTGGCCTCTCTTCCTCTGTATTTGTTTAACATAAGATGGCTTCTTTTCTCTCAGATATCCAATGAGAGCGTATGATCCGCGGAATTCGAGAGAGCTCACGTCATAGCCACCAATTCTCGTCAGAGCATCAAAAGCTTTTTCAAGATAGCGTAAACCCTCGTCTTGGACTGCAATCAGGATTATTTTGCTGAAATGGACAAAAAAATTGTCGAAATGAAGCAAACATTTCGCCGCCGGCAAAAGTGAGTACGTCAGTGCAGTGTAGTATCAAATATGTACATGTTTACGGCTGCATGGTAAATGCGGTTGAATCCAGAGTTTCACCCACCGTTGAAACACTTAAACTATATCTAGAAATAGAAAAAAGCTATCTAACGGGGATTTGAAGTAACGTTCTAGTACATTTATTACATCCCCTCTGAAAAAAAACTTTCTTTATTGAATGAGTAAACTGGTCCATTTTCTGATTAAGTCAGTGGCACCTCAAGGTCGATATCCCTGTTCATCTGCCTCGTTGTGTTCAAATATTCCGCCGTACGACAGTCGTGTGTCGCTGAAATTTTTATGATTGTGCGGCGCTCGCATGTGTATGACGTACACCTGAGGCAAATGCTTATTAGCCTTTTATGCCAACATTTCGGCCAGATCTATTAAAGTTCATCTCAACACTTAATGAAAGAGGTTTTAGGCCACTTATTTATATCTAAATCTTATGATGAGAGATTCTCCATAAATTCAAAGATTTTCCCAACTTCCGAGTCTATCATGCAATTTTAAAGGAAAAATAATGCAAGTTTGTAAAACAAGGTGGTACTTACTCTCCGGCAATCGCGTTGAGAAAGTCTCTCAACTGGGTTCCAGCGGCACCATTTCCATGGGTATCGAAATTCACGGAGTTTTGCACAATTCCTGCATTGAAAAATGTGTTTTTTAGTGTTCATGGGAATAAGAGGCAAAACGGAAAGTGAGATAAAATGAATTCCCTCAACTTACCCCCCCGGAATTTCCTTGCGTGAGGAGTTTAAATAGCTGCTATTTCATACGTTCGTAGTGCTTTTTTTCCTGTTGTATACTTCCTAATATCTCAGATTTTCACTTATTTTCCCTCAACTGATTTGTTGCCAAAATAAGCTCCTATAACTACTGATTTGTTGTCCATTTCTATTTTTTTCCAAATTTTAACGTTTGGAAATAATTTCACTCAAAAATAACAACAATTAAGTTATTTACCTGTTACGGCATCCACGACTACAACATTATGCCCTCTCCTTTGTTTCGAGTGTTCAATTTCATTCACCTTTATGTAAGCAATACCACATGTATCTGGCTTTTTACCCGGATCGTCACAGCCTTCGCTTCGGATGTCTATTTTTATAGAAGGAACTGACAAACAACAACAACAATAAATAGACAGTGAAACGGTTTAAATATCTACTTGTATCTGTAGAGATAAAAGCAAAGAACTTTCTCCAAGGGTTGAATACTTTTACCACATAATTTTCTTCTATCTCGGTTTTGCGCTAAAAGGGGGATGGGCACTGCAAACGGATAAAACTATCAAATATATATAAAACGTACTCGTCGTGAGTGGAACCGTCGCGGAGATCACGCTTGGTCCTTGGCCACTCTTCCTCTGTACTTGTTTCACATAAAATGGCTTCTTTTCGCTCGGATATCCGATGAGAGCGTATGATCCTCGGTATTCGAGAGAGCTCACGTCGTGGCCACCAATTCTCGTCAGAGCATCAAAAGCTTTTTCAAGATAGCGTAAACCCTCGTCTTGGACTGCAATCAGGATTATTTTGCTGAAATGGACAAGGAAATTGTCGAAATGAAGCAAACATTTCACAGCCGGCAAAGGAGAGTACGTCAGTGCAGTGTAGTATCAAATATGTACGTGTTTACGGCTGCATGGTAAATGCGGTTGATTCCAGAGTTTCACCCACCGTTGAAAGACTTAAACTATATCTTGAAATTGAAAACAGCTACTAACGTGGATTTGAAGTAACGTTCTGGTAAATTTATTAAATCACCTCTAAAAAATTAACTTTCTTTATTGAGCGAGTAAACTGGTCCATTTTCTGATTAAGTCAGTGGCATCTCAAGGTCGATATCCTTGTTCATCTGACTCGTTGTGTTCAAATCTTCCGCCGTACGACAGTTGTGTGTCGCTGAAATTTTTAACAATTGTGTGCGCTTGCCTTTGTATGACGTACACCCGAGGCAAATGCTTATTAGCCTTGATGCCAACATTTCGGCCAAATCTATTAAATTTCATCTCAACGCGTAATGAAAGAGGTTCTGGACCACTTATTTATATCTAAATTTTATGATGAGAGATTCTCCATAAATTAAAAAATTTGCCCCACCTCCGAGTCTATCATGCAATTTTAAAGGAAAAATAATGCAAGTTTGTAAACAAGGTGGTACTTACTCTCCAACAAAAGTGTTGAGAAAGTCTCTCAACTGGGTTCCAGCAGCACCATTTCCATGGGTATCGAAATTCACGGAGTTTTGCACAATTCCTGTATTGAAAAATGTGTTTTTGGTGTTCATTGGAATAAGAGGCAAAAAGGAAAGTGAGATAAAAGTAATTCCCTCACCGGAATTTCATTGCGCGAGGAATCCAAATAGCTCCCACTTCATACGTTCGTAGTGCTTTTTTGCACTGTTGTATAATTCCTAATATGTCTCAAATTTTCACTTATTTTCCATCAATTGACTTGTTGCTAAAATAAGTTCGTGTAACTACTGATTTCTTTTCCATTTCTATTTTATTTCTCAAAAATAAAAGCTTGAAAACTATTTTCACTCAAAAATAACAGCGATTAAGTTCTTTTACCTGTTACGGCATCCACGACTACAACATTATGCCCTCTCCTTTGTTTCGAGTATTCTTTTCCATTCACCTTTATGTAAGCAATACCACATGTGTCTGGCTTTCTTTCCGGATCATTACAGCCTTCGCTTCGAATGTCTATTTTTATAGAAGAAACTGACAAACAACAACAAAAAGAGAGACGGTGAATCGGTTTAAATATCTATTTGTATCCGTACCATGACAGGACGGAAAATCCGTGCACTGTAAGTACCTCCCGTTGTCCCATACAAAGCCTTTGAAAAGTTTTCTAAGGCTTTGTATGGGACAACGGGAGGTACTTACAGTGCACGCATTTTCCGTCCTGTCATGGATAAAAGCAAAGAACTTTCTCTAGGGGGTTAAATAATTTTACCCCATAATATTCCTTTTCTTTCAGTTTTGCGCCAATTGGGGGGTGGGGCAC